AAACTATGTATGATAAGATTATCATATCTACATAAAGACATAATTCTAGCTTTGAAATACATGTTCGTTGATATCAGCAGTCAGGGGTTTAAAATGATGCTTCTAAATTCAACTGGACTGATTGATTGACTGACTGACTGGTTTCAACGTAGAACTCCGTACAGATGTGCACCGGTTCAAATTGTCACACTCCCTCTTTTTACCACACAAAGCAAGAGAAGAGAGTAAAGAGAGATTCATCAGCAGAGAAGAAGTGTGAATGAGGGACAAAAATAGAGCTTTATCGGATATGACAAATGGCAAAGAGTGAATGTCCATGGACAAATGACCTTCAAATAAACTGACTTCAATTTATGTAAAATATTTTGACTAAATATTTTGATGATTAATAAAAATCCGAATAAATCTGCTGAAGACGCTGTGGCTTACACAGCGAAACGTTCAGAAAAACCTTGTTTTGATTTTCTTAACACGCTGGGATTAATTTAAATAATTTATAATGAATCAATCTGACTCGGCGCTCAAATTATTCCAGGAAGTTCTTAACACCTACGGCCTGGAAACCTATAAAGAGTGAATGCATCTGTGCTATTCATTGAGAGTGAGGATTTTGAGCCGTATCACCGATTGTCTCCAGCCGCCATCTCAGTCCTTACCATCCTGAGGACACCAACCAGTCAGCAGTTTACACATCCCTTCATGCCTGGCTTAACGTAACCGTTATGGATTTGATTGATTGATGAAGCCATGTTTCGGTTTGACCACCATTAGCCGCTCTTTCCCAGCCTGATTATATGTCAGTCAGCTAAGATTACTCGTCGTCGAGGAAGGTGATGGCTAGGCATGCATGTATAACACATGCCCTTACCTTCTCAATCGATGTAAGTGCTTCATTGATTGACTCCCCCTCCTTACCCACCACTCGACCAAAGCCTAACCCCAATATTGCTCACCCTACTATACCATCTAACACTCACGGGAGGTAGAACATAGACACTTATGATCGAAGATAGCTAGTCAGACTTTTTATGTTCTCCACATTCAACAGCCACGTCTCACTCACAACAATAAGGGAGGACGGAGTGAAGTGCTGGTGAGCAGTACACACACACGCACACGTGAGTCCTTCGGTCGACAGCCAGTCGGATATCATGTCAACTAAGCCAGAGATGACGTTAGTTGAAATCCGCCCAAACGAATTTTCTGAAATTCAATCAGTCAAACACTAGTAGACTGGTGGTAAAATGTCTTCTTCAATGTATATCTGTATAGTATATTTTTCTTTTAAGAAAAATATAAACCTAGTTGAGTTACTAATTTATTATGAAAGAATTGATTTTATCGATTTATCATCATGAACAATTAAAAAGAAAATTTGCCCTGTTGTAATTGAACCAAATATCTGCGTTGTTGTTATAAGCTAATCCCCCTAATAGAAAAGTTGTTGTTAATTGCTTTTATCTATGTTAGTTATTAATTCTGACTGACATCTGTTTTGCTTCTTATATTTTGTGTTTGTGTTAATTATAAACTACGCTTTGGTGTTTTTTTCTTTTTAGCGTTTTCCAACACCTTTTTGTCCTTAACTTTGTTAACGATTTTTGAGGTTACACTTATAACTTTGCATTCAATGTAAAGTGTTTATTAGAACGATTTTTGTCATTAATAGTATATATATATATATACTTAGAGTTCCGCAGTAGGTTGGTAATGTCCTGCCTTGCACTTTTCTTATCACATCAAATATGGGCCTGCCGAATACGCTGTTGTAGAGTTTTTGTACTTAATTGTCTCAGCATACCGCCTTATATAGTTGCTTCTAGTTTTACGTGATGAGGTGCGAGGAGAGAGAGAGAGTTGTCTATAGAGAGGGTGCTCAGAGTCTTACAAGATTAATATACGTTAATTTCTTGCAGGAGTCCATGTGTGTATCTATAGTAGTATTAACAGGTTGGTTTAGCAACATCCCACTCGCCCTATTGACGGCTTTTAGTGCCTGCCTTTCGCAATACAACAAAGTCTTTCTTAAGTAGCCTGGGAAAGATTAAAGGAAGGCAGTAAAGAAGGCTAGGCTGGGCATCAGTGACACAGCGGTTAGGACTCTCATCGACCATGCGCATGGTCCGGGGTTCGATCCACCTGCCGACGCACACCTGATATCGATGGTCGGCCTGCAAAATTTGGGCTACGGATATCACATGGTGAAAATTCCATACTTGTATCAAAAATACTGTGGAATCAAGCTATAATAAAAAAGATAAATAATTAACAAACTGTAACAGTAGAGAGGCAATGACATCAGACTGTCTTCACTTCTTTACACAGAAAGTCAGACGAAATATGTTTCCGGAAACAAATGTGAAATGGGAAGACGAGGAAAGGTGATCAGAGGAGATACACACTCCAAGGTATTTAAAATTCGATTTAGTTTTAATTTCAATGCCAACTATGATAGTGGAGCCATACGAACTAACTAGTTCACTCAAGTCTCTCTTGCGTGTCTGAAAGTGAAAGTAACCACCTGACATTTGAAGGTATTAGGCTTAAGACTATTTGACTAAGAACACTGACTAATTAATGTCAGTAAAAAGTTTGAGCATAGTGAAATAGATCAAATAACTTTGCCCGAAATATTACCAAAAAAGCAAAAACCCATTGAAATATACATTATTTAACATTGACTAATTTTAGCTAAAAGGTTACTTCTTTTGGAACAGTTTGACTGAAATGGAACAGGCACAGAAATAGTCAGATCATCGGCATACTTAATAAAATTCAACAAAGGCCAATTACAAATAAAGAAGAAGCCTTTGATTATTTTGTCACTCGCTGACATTTGAAACTTTCTCAGGTAACGCTAATTGTGACGTGACAAGGCGTTGAACTCAGCATCTATAGTTATATTTAGATTTGAGCATATTATCTCACGCATACTGTCGGTAGTTAACTAAAGCTAAGTTATCGAAAATTTTCTCAACTTGTAATCATTTGTCCTGTAGCGTAATTTTATGTTAACCCCGCATTAGTAGCAGTATCTCAACTGTCCTGAGATTTTCCAACCTGAATTCCCTACTAGGAGCCTTCAATAAAATTCAACTCAAAGTTAAGAGTCAAATTCACAATTTGAATAGGTGAAATTTTACTACAGTTTCCTTTGAAAACTGCGTCGATGCAGATTATCTGAAGAATGTGTGAGATGTATTTGTTGGGCACTACAATTTCAACCGGTCTGATTATTATTATTATTATTATTATTATTATTATTATTATTGTATCCTTTGATTCCTAGAGGAACATAGGGCTTTAGCCGTGCGTCTCCATTGAGTTTGGTTCTCTGCTAGAGTCTTCACCTGGCTCCAAGTCTGCCCACACGTTTTCATCTCCTCTTCACATGACCTCCTCCAAGTCACCCACCCTCGCACTGACGACCAACTCACCGCTTCCCTTTCGGATTCCACTCGAGCGATGGCTTGTCTAGTGATGTCACTCACTTGATGGTTTCCTCAGAGTATGGCCAATCCATCTCCGTTTCTTCCTGCCTATTTGTTTCACAATCGGTTCCTGGTTGGTTCGCTCCCAGAGATCTTTGTTGCTGATCTTTTCTGGCCGGCCATCTGATCTTGAGTATTGAGCGAAGAGAACTGTTGATGAAGGTCTGTAGTTTGTTGGAGATGCTCTTCATGACGCGCCGGCCAAGTCTCTGATCCGTATGTTAAGTAGCACTGACTTCACATTGGAGTTGAAAATCCGGATGTTATTTTTGATGCTGAGTGTTGTTGACCTCCACACAGACTTGAGAGTAGTGAAAGCTTGTCTTGCTTTTCCGATTCTTGCTTTGATATCCTCGTCAGTTCTTCGTCAGTTGCGCCTGTAGTTGAAACGATGCTTCCCGGGTAGCTAGGTAAAAGAGGTTGTTTCTTTCAGGTTCCTCCGATTAATGCTTATTGTTGTCTGTTGTTGTTGCTGTTGGTGGTGTTGCCCAGGTATCTTCATCACCTCTGTTTTCTCTATGTTCACCTAAAGTGAAGTCCTATGTTTGATGCTTCTTCTGCCAACTTGTTGCTTTTCGCTTGCATATCTTCCAGTTTGTGGGAAATCAGACATATATCATCGGCGATGTCCAGATCCTCCAAGTTTTTTGTGTGAGTCCATTTTATGCCAGTCTGATACCTCCCACATACTTTTCAAGTCAATTTATCTGAAAAATAAAGGCAAATAAGAAAAACAGATGAACTTTAGAGAATCGATAGGCTGAAGTGAAGTTGCATCAGACCCAACGGGTTGTTTCTTATGTGCCAGTTAACGCCGTACCTGGCGTAGACGTGATATCTGACGCCTTTCGCAGTGCTACACAGAGTCCCCGAATATCGTACAAAAAGACATTGAGTACACCATCTTGACATAGTTGAATAACTGTCTATTCGTGATCTGCAACCAGACGTCTGTATTCAAAAGCACCACATAGATTCACTCACCCTGTCATGGCCAGAGTAACGTTCTCACTACTTATTATCATTCGCATCATCCAAATTTTATTACCACTCCATTACTGTTTATTAATAATATTGCTTTTTCATACAGATTTTATATATAAGAACACTATATCGTCTTTCCACTGGTTCCTGTCCACTCTAAACAATTATATTGATTAGTCATTTTTCTTGTGCTTATTGCGTTATGCCAACTTGTAAACCCCTTTTTCTAATTTCCAATTAGTCGCCACATTTAGACTACACTTCACACCACGTGATACGTTCTCGAGGACAAAATTTACCAGTATCTGATTGGTCGTCTTATGAATTCTTTGTTAAGTACAAATACAGTTGTACAGATTATATGAAAATGAATCATTGAAAAGGGAGAATTTCCTTCTCTGTATTTGTTTCAGCATTAGTTCTGATTGTTTTTGAGTTATTCCTATTGAAAATCAACCTTCCAGACTTCTGAAAAAAAAATAACAAGCCATTTTTACTTTATTCATTTTGTTTTCCTCACTCCAGGTGATGTACAGACCATTTCTCAATCAAAAAGTCATGAATATATGAAATGCACAAATTCTCATCTATCCATGCGGGTGAATCCATCATCTACGTCGTCATCAGCACCAGCGTCGATTTCACCGTTACCTTTACATGACAACATGTTCAGTAACAAAAATATTGTGGATGCTAAAGATTCGAAACATAACGTATGTTGCCTATTTTGAATAATAATAATAATAATAATAATAATAATAATAATAATAATAATAATAATAAAGACGCAATTTTTCTGAATCATCTAATATGTATATGACAAGTCCGTGTATGATCAGATTGTTCGAAATCTGTGTTGTGCGCGCAAATACAAAACACGATTCAGACAACTTACGTCTTATTATTACTTTGTACAAATTCATAAAGAGAACTAATTGTTTTAAATAATAATAATAATTTGTAATAATAATATTGTATCAGCAACCAACTGACTCAAGAAGCAACGAAGACAGGGCTCCAGGTGAACAAAGAGAAGACGGAGGTGATAAAGATAACCAAAGAAGTCTTCACCCCCTGTAAAGTGTAAGATGCTGCTATAGGAATGACTGGACTACCTCAACTCCTAGCTTAGTGATAGGGAGTGAAGTGATAGAACACGTTGACCACTTCACCTATTTAGGAAGTTGTATCAGCACCAACAGACTGATTGATTGGTGACGAAATCTCAGCACGGACCCAAAAATCTCGAGCTGCTTTCGCTAACTTACACCATCTCTGGCGTAGGCGTGACATCCGACTATCAACCAAGGGAGGTGTATACTGCTCAGCAGTTCGCTCCGTTCTTCTCTATGGCGGTGAGACGTGGCCATTGAGAGCGGAAGACATGAAGAGATTGTCTGTTTTTGACCAAAGATGTCTACGATCTCTTTCTCGCGTTAGGTGGTATAATAAGGTAAGTAATGTTGACGTTAGGCGTAGAGTGTTGGGCAAGGAGGGAAAATCAATCGAAGAGGCTATAAAGTTACGTAGATTGAGATGGCTAGGTCATGTGCTGCGCATGCCTAACCATCGCCTCCCCCGACGGACGGGCATTACTAGCTGATACAGGTGCAGGTTGGAAAAGAGTAAGTGGTGGCCAAACAAAAACATGGCCTCATCAATCCATGAAATCCCTGACAGTTAAACTGAGTCAGGTAGGGAGGGAGATGCAGACTTCCGGGTTGGGGCCCGCCCTCGAGACTCTAAGAATCAGTGGTTGGAGACAATAGGTGACATGACTCAAAATCGTTGTCAATGGCTTACGCAGATGTATTCAGTCTCTGTAATCTTTCATATTCCTTTCTACCATTACTCATTGTGTTTCACTCTTATACTTGTCAAAACTCTATTGACTCTCTTCACTCATTTTCTTGTCTACCTTTGTGTGCTCTTTGGAACATCGCAACTCGAAGTGCTTCACTTCGGTGCCAAGTTCTATGTTGAATTCAGACAGACAGAGATGTCACCCTTGGACACACACCCAACTCATCGTCGCTCATTCGGGTTCCACTCGAGTGATAATCTGGTGCACGATGTCATTCGACGACCACCTCTTCAGCGTGTATCCAATCCATCTCCATTTTCTCCTACATATTTGTTGAGTACTGGGTTCTTCGTTGGTTTGTTTCACAGCAGAGTTTTCTCTTGTATTGCTAATTATTTCTGCCTGACCATTTGATGTTGCATATTATGGAGTGAGTGAAGGCGGCAGTTGTTGATAAAAGTCTTCAATAGCCTGTTGGAAATGCTCTTGTGACGCGTCGGTCGAGTTCTTGACCCATATAGAAGAATTGACTGACTGACTGACCGACTTAACATTTGTGCTGGAAATCGGAATCTTGTTCTCTGTGCTGAGGCGGCGGAGTACAGACGATTTGCATACTGATTTCAGAGTGATTCCGATTCTGACTGGCTTTGACGTCCCCAAGTGTGCTGTGTATCTGTAGTTGAAACAATGCCTCCTACATGAGTGAAGAAATTGACCTCTTTCGTATTTCTTCCATTGATAGTGATTGGTGCTGATGGTGGTACAGTGTGAGTTTCTGCATCATCTCCACCTTCTCTATGTTCACTTCAAGTCCATATCCGTAAGATCGTATTGTAACAACAGAAGACAAGGGCCAGGCAACAGATCGTTTATTAAGGAAATCAAAGCATATTTATATATTTTCATGTACATTATTATAGATTAGTTAAGCAAACAAACACAGTCTTCTGATTGGTTGTTTCTCACTTCAAGTTAATCTTTCATCTCTTGTGACTGTTTCTTGAATGTCACATCATCTATATGTTAACTGTATCCGCCTACGCAAAGTCTGCTGTGGTCGGTTTTTGAATCAGTGTTTGTTCATATTTTCTCACGACAAATCTTGGGAACGTAAATATTGACGTAAATTACTGTCTACGAATTTGGCTAGTAGACAGCTCTCACCACAGTATTACATTATTTGTCCTTTGTCGAAAATATGTGTCGATTTTATTAATTGGTCCAAGTAAATAGCTGCATGTTTTCGTGGATTGTAGATGTTAGATATTATTATTATTATTGTTAATATTATTATTCACTAATGTATGCCTCCCTCTCTTTTTTATGTTTTATTTTTGTCATCTTCGAAATAACGCACATCCCTTTCAGACAAACGAATTGAAGTCGATTCATCAATTATCAGCTAATTTCAATTCAGTATCATCGTCAGCATCAGTATCATCATCATCGACGCTACAGAGAAAACATTCACGACCGAATAAAAAACGTAGGAGACGAAAATTAGAAAATAATAAGCAAGATGTCACTTCCTTAATGTAATGTAATATAATATAAATTTTTGTGTTTTCTTACTTTTTATTTTTCTTCTTCTTCATCATCTTTTTCTCTTCATGTCATTTGTTGTTCATTTTATTTGGCTAATTTGCCTTATTTATTTATTGATTAATTGATTGATCGATTTTTGTATATTAAACATTTCAAATTTGTATATTATTTTTCCATAATATCATATCTACTCATTATTTGTGTTGAGATTATTCTATTCTTATCGATTGGGTTTTTTTTCCGTTTTTTTTCTTTTTTTTCTTAAATAGCCAATTGTACAGATTGATTAGTCAATTGAAATTAGGTTATCAATTTTCACCTTCTTAATTGATTCATTGATTGATTGATTTATTGATATCTCTTTTTTCAGCCTTTCTTCGTCTACTTCTTCTGTGCTATTTTTTTCTTTCTTGATGAATATGCATATCAGATTTCTGAATACTTTTCAGATAGGGATACTTTATATGTATTATTTACTGTTATGTTTCAATGTGTATTTGTTTGTTTGTTAAATTTCTTGTCAATATGTATTGTTATTATTATATTACTACTACTACTACTAATATTCTGGATAACAGATTCAACATTCCATCGATCTCTTCAACGGTATTCTTTCTTTTTTTATGTCTGTATTTTAATCCTACTCTTCAGGTGTGTGTGTGTGTGTGTGTGAACACACTGACTTTCAATCGGAACTTTGAAGTGTTGTCTATCTATTTGGACTGTTTTCTTTATCTTTCCTCGTCCACTTGTTTATTCAATTACACATTGTTTATTTTTGTCTAAAAGTTTTATTCTTAACAAGAGGAATGCACACACACAAACACAGAGAGACACAAAGGGGGGTGCCAGGATAATTACTCATTGTATTTATTTGTATTATTGTTACTCACACACACACACTGTGACACACCCACTCATAGGCACGCACGCACACACAGATTCATTTATGTATAGAAAACACAGAGTGTCTTTCTTCATTATTTTAAAAAAATGTTTACTTCTAGGTAAGTGGGGTGGGGTGGTGGGGTGAAGGCGGAGATATTTTTGTTTGCTGTGCAAATAATAATAAAACTTTGTGTATACTGTGTTTGTGTTTTCTCTTGTGAATAAAAAGACAATTGCAGCGAAGAAAATTTTCTTTTCGACGAAGTCGTCATCTAGGTAGGCTGTACATTCGTGTATTTATATCAAATGGATAGGAAAGTTCTGGTTAGGGGTCAAATTAATAAAAAAACTACAATTAGGAATTAAAATGACATAACAAACAGGGGGGATGGGTAAAACTAAAACAAAGTAGCATTATAATAACTAAGAAGATTGACATTGTGCAATTGGGGTTAGAAATGTAGAAATAACAAAATTGACAGTATGTTTGGATAAAAAAACTAATATGATGAATAATTGTTTATGCAATCAGGGATTAAATATTTAGGAATAGTAAAATGACAAAATAAACAGGAAGAGTGGATATGAAAATATGGTAGTGTAAACAGGGTTTAAGAAAACTTAAAATAACATGAATAAACAGGAAGTTTAGATAAGAAAGGCGATGAGATTGTCATTACTAAAAGATTTTACCTGTTTATGATGGCCATGGTAGGGAGAGGGGTTGGACGTAATTCTTTTGGGTACAAAGTGTGGGTTTGAGCTTTTGGATAGCTAACGCCTCAATTATGCCCAGATGTCTTGAATTCACTCCCTTTGATAGGTTTGATTGAATCTTGTGTATTACTTTGAAGGATTTTTCGAAAGGCGCTGAATGTCCTGAGTTGACCAGATGTTCTGTCACTGAACTGTATACACGTTTTCGGTCTCCTTTTACTAGCCAGGCTGGGTAGTGTTCGCGAGCGCGTTTTTCAAGTCGGCACATAGTACGGCCGATGTACTCAGCTCCACAAGAGCAAGTAAACTGGTAAATGCACGTTGAGGTGGCCCAATGCGACGGCGTGTCTTTCACGTTCTGGCTGAACAGTTTCTTGCAAGAAAACGTCAGTTGTAGGCTCGCGGCGAAGTATGTTTTCCTTAGAGATTTGCAGAGACGTTTGCGAAGGATTTCTGCTTCAATATCACCTTTGAATTCTAGATTAAGCAGAAGTGTTTTCTGTGGAACGGATTGGACTTGTTCTGAAGTCTTAGTCTTAGATTTGAGATTTCTGCCTATGAACCTGGGCGGGAAACCGTTTTCCATCAAGGTTTTTCGGAGATTACGCAGTTCTTCTTCAATCACTTCCTCGCTGCATATCTTCCGAATCCTCGAGGAAAGAGCGTATATCAGGTTCCTCTTTCTGCTTAGGAGCACGAAGCTTTGGAAGTTGATGAATTGTCCACTCCAGGTAGGCTTTCTGTAAATGGATCTTTTCAGGGAGTTGTCGGCATTTCTTGTCAGCTGGACGTCGAGGAAGCGGAACATTCCGTTGGATTCAGTCTCAAGTGTGAAGTCGATGTTTGGGTGGGCGTTATTGAAGATTTGAAGTAGGTTTTTTAAATCACAATTCCCATCACAAATAATGAAAGTATCATCGATGTATCTCTTGTAGAGATGGAGGTCGTTGATAGTTGATGATAAGGGGTTGTTTTCTCTTGTGATTAAAAAAAGAATACTCGTTAGATGTGATTGACGATTGGATTTTGTAGACTAGATGTTTCTGTGTGTGTGTGTGTGTGTGTGAGGGGGGGGCTCACCTGCTGTTATTTAAGACATATCTATTGTGAATTATTTCATTTGTCAAGAAATTTCGTGAAAGGCAATTTGACTTAGGAATTCCCTTGTCTCTAGTAGCCTCAAAGAATTACTCCTTAAATGCACAATGAATGTACAGTTTGTCTTCAATAATTCATACTACTGACACAGTAGATTGAATAGCTCTATGGGTGGTTCACCATTAGGCCCAATATTGGTTGATTTCTTCCTCGCAAAACTTGCAAAAACGGAAATTTGATCGACATCATCAAGGAATTTGATATGTATTACCGTTATGTTGATGGATACATCATCGATCTTAGCTGATGGAAATGCAAATATAGACGAATTGTTGATGAAATTCAACAAAATCCACCCTTTCACTTACTTTTACTTGTGAACAGAAGCAGGATGGTAAACTACATTTCCTGGATGTCTTGCTAAGTAGGCGAGAAGATGGGTCACTTGGGAGAAGGGTGTATAGAGAAGGCACATACACAGGGTGATATATATATACACACACACACTTCCTTAGTTACGTGCCGATTAAGTATAAAAGAAATGTCTTACGGACAGAGCAAGAAAGATATGTACGGATGACCACTTACAAAAGGAATTTGAATATATTCACGATTCCTTGATGGCGATGGGCTATCCAAGTAGTTTCATAAGGAAACATATGAAAACATCAGAGAAAAAACCGGAGACTCTGACTGCACATAAGAAACCTCTATTTACTAAGTTACAATTTAATGGTGACTTGTCCAGTGAGATTATATTCCAGACACTTTCCAGGAGTATACGAAGAACGTTTTACGCAGCGAACCTATGTTTGTCATTCTCCAGCCGACGAATGATTGGGATGCAAACGAAGGATAAGCTTGATAGTTTTGCCACATCTATGTGCATGTATCAATTCAACTGCACCTGCGGTGACAGTTATTTTGGGCGTACTGCTAGACAGCTTAGTCAACCAATGTGTTAGTGAACATCTCCCATCGTGGTGGTTGGGCAAAGGACAGATAAAAACAATCCGTAGCTCAATTTTGTCACACTTAATTGATAGTGGTCATGTAGTGGAGAAAACGAGAGCTTTCAAGGTCATTCATCGTATCCCACCGAATCTTTCCAATAGACTTCGTATTTGTTTCCTGCACACAGCTGAGGAGATAGGCATTGGAACTATTAATCCTAAACTATGCATTCAAAGGAAGTTCGTACAGCCATTATCCCTCCCTTGCTTGGCCTATTAAGACATAATCAACTGATGACTTCCACACCACCTGTGACTTATATTTTTAAAACCTATCTAATCATCACTTAACCTTATCACACCTTCATTTAGCATTACTTAGCTTTTATCGACCATTACTTCTACCTGAACATTTGTTTGTTTAATCATGCTGTTTTTTTCATTATTCTTGTTATCACAGATTGCCTCACTTTTTCATCCTTGTTATTGATGGAATCATTATTGCTATCGTGATTGATTGATTACTATGACTACTGCACAATTTATATGCACAGTCTTATTGACTGACAAAACACCGTGATTGATTTATATGAGAATATTTATTTGTAAAGTTATGTAGGTATCTATAAAACACACAAAAGAATATCCTTTTCGATAATTTCCTCTTGTGGCTCTACAGTTATATATATATATGTTTATATACATAGAATATTCTAGATTACTGGTCAATAACAATTTAACTGCTCCTGTGGAGCAAGTTACATAAGCTGTACAATTAGGCGTGTTTCTCGTTGGATTTCCGAACATCACCCTGTGTGGTTAAGTAACGGACAAAGTAAATCTATTCGTGGCGCTATTCTGTCTCATATTGCGGATACAGAACACAAGATTGATGCTAACTAGGCAGCATACCAACAGATCTTAACTTCGCCTTAAGAGTAGATTTACTAAATATTGCTGAGGCTGTTGGGATCCACATCAAGAAGCCTAATTTGTGCGTCCAATAGGAACTAGTTCAGACATTATCCTTACCTTGGCCATCTAGGTTCGATTAATCCTCAACTTTTGTAGAAATTTCCCTAATTTTTGTTGATATTCTATTTTGCCCTTTAAATTTTTATGATTATTATAATTTAAGTATCTTTTATGAACTGTTATTCCTGCCGATCGCCTCCCACCATCTAATATCATCAAATCAGCGTGCACCTTGATGGCGAGCAACGTAGAATAGTGGCCACATTACAATAGAATTCATTCTGCACCAAAGAAAGGACTAGACACATCACACTAGTTACTAGTATCCAGTCAGAACTGTAGTTCCAACGAGATCTTTCTTTACAAATCGATATTATCTTTTTAAAAACACTAATATTGTTATTGACTACTAATCTAGAATATTCTATGTATGTAAACCCACATGTATATAATTGTAGAGCCAGAAGAAGAGAAAATAATCGAAAAGGACATCCTTTGCAGATGACATAGTCCTGTTAGGGGAGGATGCTGACAAATGCAGAGTCTTTTGAACACCTTGAGCAGCAATCTTCGTATGTTGGGCATGCGATTCGCCCCTGTTAAATGTAAGATGCTGCTACAGGACTGGACTACCTCAACCCCTAGCCTAGTGATAGGGAGTGAAGTGAAGTGATAGAACATGTTGACTACTTCACCTATTTGGGAAGTTGTATCAGCACCAACGGATTGATTGGTGACGAAATCTCAGCACGGACCCAAAAATCTCGAGCTGCTTTCGCTAACTTACACCATCTCTGGCGCAGGCGTGACATCCGACTATCAACCAAGGGACGTGTGCACTGCTCAGCAGTTCGCTCCGTCCTTCTCTATGGCGGTGAGACGTGGCCATTGAGAGCGGAAGACATGAAAAGGTTGACTGTTTTTGATCATAGATGTCTACTATCCCTTTCTCACGTTAGGTGGCAGAATAAGGTAAGTAATGTTGACGTTAGGCGTAGAGTGTTGGGCAGAGAGGGAAAATCAATCGAAGAGGCTATAAAGTTACATAGATTGAGATGGCTAGGTCACGTGCTGCGCATGCCTAACCATCGCCTCCCCCGACGGACGGGCATTACTAGCTGATATAGGTGCAGGTTGGTTGGAAAAGAGTAAGTGGTGGCCAAACAAAAACATGGCCTCATCAATCCAGGAAATCCTTGACAGTTAAACTGAGTCAGGTAGGGAGGGAGATGCAGACTTCCGGGTTGGAGCCCGCCCTCGGGACTCTAAGAATCAATGGCTGGAGACACTAGGTGACATGGCTCAAAATTGTTGTCAATGGCGCAGATGTATTCAGACTCTGTAATCTTTCATATTCCTTTCTACTATTACTGATTCTGTTTCACTCTTATACTTGTCAAAACTCTATTGATTCTCTTCACTCATTTTCTTGTCTACCTTTGTGTGGTATTTGGAACGTGGCAACGGGAACTGGTGCACTTCGGTGGCAAGTTCTATGTTGAATCCAGCCAGCAGCATATTCTTTGCTCAATTAATTAATGTTTTATAGAAAAATTGTCTAAATGAATATTATGTAATTATGTATATTAGAGTTAAGCTTGATGAGATCTGATCGAAAACAATATCATCACTGTTCACTTGAATATTTTGTTCTAGATTACTTCAATCAATGAGATTCATAATCGTGTTTTGTAGACTGTCAATCAGTCAGTTAGTTTTGATTATTTTTATTTACTAGTCTCAGCCCTTTTTTATTCGTATTTCTATACTTAGTTGGCAGTGAGTGTAAGTCACACTTGTTGTATGTATGTACGTATGTATGCATGTAAATCAATGCGAATATCGTATGGCTTGCCGTCTTATATATACGATATGGTTTAAGGACGACAACACTGCTTAAGCCTATTTAACAAGACAACCCTACCAAACAATATTCCAATCAATAGTCAAATTGTAATCATAAATTTTGATTTCAGTATGGTTGTTGTGTTCTTTGAACTGGATGGTTGAATTGCGAAGCTTTCTCTGAACAACATCTTGGACAGTTAGTAGTAGTAGTAGTAGTAGTAGTAGTAGTAGTAGTAGTAGTGTGGTGAGAGCTGTCTACTAGCCAAGTGGTGGACAGTAATTGAGGTCAATGTTTATGTATCAAATATTAGTCATGTTGTGGTGAGAGATGGTTGCTGGCCAAATTGGTTGACAGTAATTGAGGTCAAAGGTCAAGGTGGACAGGCGGTTACAGTTATCATATAGATGAACTGACACAGCCACAAGAGATGCAAGGTTAACTTTGTGTGAGAAACAACCAATCAACAGACAGTATTTCCTACTAACATTGACCTACAATAATGTACATAAAAATCTATAAATACGTGTTGATTTTTCGTAATAAACGATCTGTTGCCTGGCCCTTGTCTTCTGTTGTTACATTTGGTGTCGCTGCCTACCGACAAATGGAAAGCCTATGCCTTGCAGTTTTTGATGGAGACATATGGATCTTCGCGCAGGACTTCGAGGCTTCTTCGCAGTTGAGTGGCGTTCAAGATCTGTCAGCGATGAGGCTGCTACTTGGGACGCTGCTGGGAGGTCGGGAGAAAGCAGCATATGGAAGTGTGAGGCGAAATACCTACGAATGTGCGACAGGGTCAGGCAAACAGTTTCCAAAGTGGGAAGGACTATATATGGTCACGTTGAGATGGGGTTACGCAGACACATTCGCAATGGTAAACACCGTTAAACAAGCGGACATCCGCAAGCGCCGAGATTCCAGACAGCAAGACAACAGAGCAAAGCCCCAAGAACCGAGAAGACCGAGCCGACTTCAGTTCAAACTATTTGACGGGGGGACGAGTGTGGTGAGAGCTGTCTACTAGCCAAGTGGTGGACAGTAATTGAGGTCAATGTTTATGTATCAAATATTAGTCATGTTGTGGTGAGAGATGGTTGCTGGCCAAATTGGTTGACAGTAATTGAGGTCAAAGGTCAAGGTGGACAGGCGGTTACAGTTATCATATAGATGAACTGACACAGCCACAAGAGATGCAAGGTTAACTTTGTGTGAGAAACAACCAATCAACAGACAGTATTTCCTACTAACATTGACCTACAATAATGTACATAAAAATCTATAAATACGTGTTGATTTTTCGTAATAAACGATCTGTTGCCTGGCCCTTGTCTTCTGTTGTTACAGTAGTAGTAGTAGTAGTAGTAGTAGTAGTAGTAGTAGTAGTAGTAGTAGTAGTAGTAGTAGTAGTAGTAGTAGTAGTAGTAGTAGTAGTAGTAGTAGTAGTAGTAGTAGTAGTAGTAGTAGTAGTAGTAGTAGTAGTAGTAGTAGTAGTAGTAGTAGTAGTAGTAGTAGTAGTAGTAGTAGTAGTAGTAGTAGTAGTAGTAGTAGTAGTAGTAGTAGTAGTAGTAGTAGTAGTAGTAGTAGTAGTAGTAGTAGTAGTAGTAGTAGTAGTAGTAGTAGTAGTAGTAGTAGTAGTAGTAGTAGTAGTAGTAGTAGTAGTAGTAGTAGTAGTAGTAGTAGTAGTAGTAGTAGTAGTAGTAGTAGTAGTAGTAGTAGTAGTAGTAGTAGTAGTAGTAGTAGTAGTAGTAGTAGTAGTAGTAGTAGTAGTAGTAGTAGTAGTAGTAGTAGTAGTAGTAGTAGTAGTAGTAGTAGTAGTAGTAGTAGTAGTAGTAGTAGTAGTAGTAGTAGTAGTAGTAGTAGTAGTAGTAGTAGTAGTAGTAGTAGTAGTAGTAGTAGTAGTAGTAGTAGTAGTAGTAGTAGTAGTAGTAGTAGTAGTAGTAGTAGTAGTAGTAGTAGTAGTAGTAGTAGTAGTAGTAGTAGTAGTAGTAGTAGTAGTAGTAGTAGTAGTAGTAGTAGTAGTAGTAGTAGTAGTAGTAGTAGTAGTAGTAGTAGTAGTAGTAGTAGTAGTAGTAGTAGTAGTAGTAGTAGTAGTAGTAGTAGTAGTAGTAGTAGTAGTAGTAGTAGTAGTAGTAGTAGTAGTAGTAGTAGTAGTAGTAGTAGTAGTAGTAGTAGTAGTAGTAGTAGTAGTAGTAGTAGTAGTAGTAGTAGTAGTAGTAGTAGTAGTAGTAGTAGTAGTAGTAGTAGTAGTAGTAGTAGTAGTAGTAGTAGTAGTAGTAGTAGTAGTAGTAGTAGTAGTAGTAGTAGTAGTAGTAGTAGTAGTAGTAGTAGTAGTAGTAGTAGTAGTAGTAGTAGTAGTAGTAGTAGTAGTAGTAGTAGTAGTAGTAGTAGTAGTAGTAGTAGTAGTAGTAGTAGTAGTAGTAGTAGTAGTAGTAGTAGTAGTAGTAGTAGTAGTAGTAGTAGTAGTAGTAGTAGTAGTAGTAGTAGTAGTAGTAGTAGTAGTAGTAGTAGTAGTAGTAGTAGTAGTAGTAGTAGTAGTAGTAGTAGTAGTAGTAGTAGTAGTAGTAGTAGTAGTAGTAGTAGTAGTAGTAGTAGTAGTAGTAGTAGTAGTAGTAGTAGTAGTAGTAGTAGTAGTAGTAGTAGTAGTAGTAGTAGTAGTAGTAGTAGTAGTAGTAGTAGTAGTAGTAGTAGTAGTAGTAGTAGTAGTAGTAGTAGTAGTAGTAGTAGTAGTAGTAGTAGTAGTTACCTTAACATTTATTTTGAACGTAATGCTCAGAACCCTCTTTCGATGTATATGTTGAGCATAAAGCCCATAACCATCTTTCGGGATATATATATATATATATATATATATATATATATACCGCAAGCCCATAGTATTCCAAGAAGCGCTTCTCTCCATGGCTGAGGCAGGGATTCTCCAGCGTCCATCCACTCTCTAACACAAGCGCTTATAGCCGGAAAAGGCGTATATTTCACCTTCTCGAGCAATTAGGGCCTGCCAGTGACCAGCAGTGTCGTGGGCCGTTCATAGGAGAGACTTTTTAGAAGCCTGCCTGGTATTCCAGTGAATCGTCGTCAATCAATAGACACATCGAAATAGACAAAATTTACCAATCGATAAGAAGGAAATCTCCCACACACTCAAAGTTGAAGTCAAGGAAAAAATCAGTTACAATACAAGTAGCCTAGAGGGTGTGAAAACACACAAAAACAACCAGACACGTTCAAAGTCCCCAGGAGAGATGACTAATAATCTCGTGGAGAAATCTGAAAGCTCACTTCAACAAATTGCAGTATGCGCTGAAGATGTTGCCTAGTTGGGCAATGAAAGCTTCGCATATAGACCATCCAGCTCAGAAAACACAATTACATCAAAAAACCTGCCTGGTTTTCAGGGATCTGCGTAAGTGATGTCGGTCAGTGACAGAAAGGTCACATCTGAAATCTATTCGGAATCCCTGGTGTGTGAATACCAATCGTCATCTCACTGATAACGACTGGAGGGATTTCCTGAAAATACAGTGGGAAATCGTGACTATTGAGGTGCAACAAGTTACGTGGATGCTGATGTAGGGAATCGGCAAGGGCAGTGCTATCTCATAAGTTCACAGAGTTCGAATTCAGGGGTCATTCGATTTCAGCCCACATCTGTCTTCTCTGTGTTCACCTGAAGTCCCTCCAATCCTCAATGCTTCTTCTGCCAACTTACTGCTTTTCACCTGCATATCTTCCAATTTGTGGGAAATCAGACATTCGGCATGGTACGTGGTCAGATGTCAGAAGAACATGGACTTCTGTAACATTGTCTAAAGGCGCAACACCAAATGACTTCTTCAAGTCTTTCAACCTAAGAGTCGCTCCACCTCGCCAGCTTAAAGTCGAAGTAGAAGGCAGTTTTTGGGCAGTCGTCCGGGTGTACTTCAACTTGCCAGTACCCAGATGCTGATACCACCCCTAGCCATTGATATTATTGCCGAAGCTATTGAATGAAGGCTCACAAATGTGGCCACAACCGCCCCCGGGAAAATACTAAGTCTCTTCTTAACAATTTGTCTACCTTTTTATGTAATAAGAGACCTCTCACTGTTTGGGGACTTGTTAATGGTTTACAATTAAAAGCGTTCTCTGAGCTGGTTGGTTTAATCGCGAAGCTTTCGTCGTCCTTCCGGACAACATCTTCAGCGCCATATTTATCACGAAGTGAAGTGATTTAAATTTTCTCATGCATGATGTAATTGCGTCTCCTGGTTACTATCTTCACATATGTATTGACCACTTTCTATTGACTAGGATTTTAAACTTTTTGGTCACCTGATTTACTTTTTATTAATTGGTATACGCTTTTAATTGTAAATCATCCACCTGAGCTACAAATCTTCTCTATTACTTGTTAATGGTGTGCAAGCTAGGATCTTACTGGATACTGGGGCATCAGTGTCCCTAGTACGGACATCCCTCCTACACCGGTTGACCCACTATCCACCCCCTGTCCCCACTCACAATGTGTTAACCACGGGGCTAAAATAGATGCCCAAGCAGTCATCAACCTATAGCTACACCTGGGAAACCTAGTAGACGACCACCGTATTCTCATCTGTCCCGAAATCACATGGGACCTGATCCTCGGCGTCGATTTTCTGACTGGACACTCTGCTGTCATAGACCTTTCCCACAATCAGGTCACCCTCGATGCAACGCCGATACTTCTAGACAGCTCTCAGAAACCACCTCTTATTAAGCCTGTGGTGAGAGCTGTCTACTAGCCAAATTGGTAGACAGTAATTTACGTCAATATTTACTTTCCCAAGATTTGTCGTGAGAAACAACCAATCGGAAGACTGTGTTTGTTTGTTTACGTATCCATAGTAATGTACATGAAAACATATATAAATATGCGTTGATTTCCTTAATAAATGATCTGTTGCCTGACTCTTGCCTTCTGTCGTTACAAGCCCACTCTCACCGTTTCTTCCATTCTTAATCAAGTCTCACTATACCCATCCGTCCCAGCGACCAACCCGGACCAAATGCTAGCGTTAATTGGGATCTTTTTGAAAGGGAAGTAGAACTATAAAAATTAGGCTGCAAAGTCATGCAATTACACTTCAAGTGATTATGAACAACACACTGTGTTCGAAATGTTGTACAGCAAATAATACCTTTTCATTGTGTAGTATGTCTATAAAACAAAAAGCCGACTAAAATCAACCGTGACGATTACAACAGAGTTAAGCAGTGTTGCCACGTGTATTCTCGGCTCAGCTGTTCAATAAAGCTCTACTGATTATTATTATGCTGCTTCCTCACATTACTGTATTGCATTTCAGGACTGACACTCAATAACCCCATTGCTATAGCTAAGGCTTTTTCTAGATTTGGTATCCTAGTACAGTCGACTTACCTTGTGAAACTACCAAAGAAGGCCGACTTAGGACTCTGCAAAAACTGGCGAGGAGTCATGCTCCTGTCGAAACCAAGTAAAATCCTGAGTCGCATCATCCTGGAAAGAATAAAGGACACACTGGATACAGAACAAGCTGGATTAAGGAAAGGCAAATCATGTTCTGACCAAATTGCAACTCTACGCATCATCATCGAACAAAGCATGGAACGGCAATCAAACCTCTACCTCAACTTTATAGACTTTGAGAAGGCCTTCGACAGCGTTGACCGCGAAGTAATTTGGAAACTACTCAAGTACTACGGCGTACCCCAAATATTCATCAACCTTATTCAACAGCTGTACGACAACGGCACATGTCAAGTGATCCACAACGGAAAACTCGGCGAGGCGTTTGGAGTAAACACAGGAGTCAGACAAGGGTGCTTATTATCACCAATGATATTCCTAATTGTGGTGGACTGGATTATGCATCGGACAGTGGGAAACGAGAAGACAGGGATATCCTGGACCGACGTGAAGAACCTAGAAGACCTGGATTCCGCGCGTAGATGATTTATGTTTGATGTCACACAAAATCGAAGACTTACAAGCGAAAACCGACAAACTGGTCGAAGAAGCTGGCAGTAAAGACAGGACTCCAGGTGAACATAGACAAGACGGAGGCTATGAAAATAACCAACCAACAACAACAACAGCAGCAGCAACATCCACCGCCAATCACCATCAACGGGAGGGATTTGAAAGAGGTTACTTCTTTCACTTATCTAGGGAACATTGTCTCAACTACAGGAGGAACGGACGAGGATGTCAAATCGAGAATCGGGAAGGCGAGAAACACATTCATCAACCTGAAACCAATCTGCAAATCTTTGTCACTGAGCATCAACAAAATTCGGATTTTCTATACAAACGTCAAGTCAGTCACTTCTTCTATACGGATCACAAACTTGGCGGTGGGTCACAAAGAATATTTCCAACAGCCTGTTGCAGACCTTTATCAACAGCTGTCTTCGTTCTTTACTCAAGATCAGATGGCCGGAAAGAATCACCAACAAGAAGCTATGGGAACAAACAAAACAAGAACCAATCGCTCAACAAATATGCAGGAGAAAGTGGAGATGGATTGGACACTCGCTGGGTGACATCACACGTCAGGCCAGTGCTGGAGTGGAACCCGAAAGGGAAGCGGCGAGTGGGACGTCCAAGGGTGACATGGAGGAGATCGTGTGAAGAAGAGTTGAAACATTATGGATTAACATGGCTGCAGGTGAAAAGTACAGCAAGTGGAGGCGTGTAGTTGAAGCTCTATGTTCCACTAGGAACCCAAAGGAACAATAATAATATAAACAGTCTACTAGTTTACATTTCGCTAAACTTTTGTGCTTCGTTAACACAACTGATCCCGGCTACTACTACTCTGACCTGTGAATTTCACACAATATTCATTTCATAGTAATGAATGGACGGATTTAATGGGCTCCATATGATTGTTTTAGGCAAGACAGTTTATTTCTGAGCGTGTCTGCATACCACTTTGTCTAGAAGAAAATCCATCAACAAAGTTCCAGAAATTCTTTCTTTATATTGGCTGCACTAAGGATGTTTCAAATGCCTCTTTAAATATGTGTTGCCACAGTTATGTATACTGTATTTCTATCGCATCTAATAGGCCCATGCCCTCAATCTCTCAAAAAAGGCCCCTATCCTTACGATAAATGAAAGGAAAACGTATAAAAACGCATTTCCGAGAGAGAGTGTAGTTACAGTCGACATGATTATGAGCAATGAATTGTGTTCAAAACATCATCCAGTAAATGATACTGTCATTTACCGAATAAACACACATACGGAACTACATAATATCTACTTGTACACACAATCACCAGACACATACCGGCGTATCATTTTTCTTTTGACTAGTGGAGGGTTAATTCAATAAGCCATTGCGGTTCATCGATATAGACGCTCAAGTTTCAACCAGTAAATCATGTGTGAACAACGCTCCACCCACATAAGTTTTGACAATACTAGTAGGCCGTACTAAATACGTGCGGTGCAGACCTGCGCACTTTATCCTCCTCATAAGTCAGCTTCTAGAGTCCGTTTTATACAGATTTCACTTTGATATCGCAATGAGTTCCAAATCCAAAGTTGTACTGCTTAACCGAATCTGCTGCGATGTCCGTTCACAGAGGGTAAGAATTAGTAGGCCGAGAATTTCGTTATCACTACAGTCAAATAGACTGTAACCTTGAAGCAACAAAGGATAAGCTCAACCATAAAGCCAGCTACCTTCCTCACTGAGTGTGGGCGTACAGAATATTCGTTCGAATGATCAATTGGGACTAGTTGGTCATAGGAAAGATAGCGTTAATGGACTTTTGCGTAACGAATATCATGGTAGAAGCCATGACTTTGAATGATCCAGCCATGTGTCAAGCTGTAAATCCAACTGTGAAACCGGTGGAGTTATATTAATTACAGACTACGTAAATGCAATCAAATATAGGATTCAAAACATTTATTTCCCGATACGGATTTTAAAACAAGCAACAAAGGTTAATAAAGCAAGATTTCATGATGGATTCACCAAATTTTGGTTGAACTCATCCCCAGCTGAATACTCTACATTGGAGGATCTATATACTATTGAAATTACATTATCATTACATTATTAACCTTTGTTGTTTGTTTTAAATTCGCATCGGTAGATAAATGTTTTCAATTCTTAAAGAATCGCCTCCCAGAAAGCGCTATCAATGCACTAAATGATCTAGTGAAATTGAGGCGTAGGATTGCTAAACACTCTGCTCGACGAGATTTTTTGAAAGAATGTCTTCAGACTAATATATATCCTCGAAAATTTTACAAATCCTTACTGACTTCACATTGCAGTTCAAATCCGGACCTCATTTTCATTTTCATGCTAGTGCTGTTGACCTCCAAACACACTTGAGAGTAATGAAAGCTTGTCTTGTTTTCCCGATCCTTCCTTTGATATCCTCATCAGTTCCGTCCGCCTGTAGTTGAAACGATGCTTCCCAGGTCTGTAGGTAGGTGATCCTTGCTTTGATATCCTCTTCAGTTCCGTCCGCCTGCTTCTCAGGTAGGTAAAGGAGGTTGTTTCTTTCAGGTTCCTCCCATTTATGCTGATTTTTGTCTGTTGTTGTTGGCCAAGAGTCTTCATCACCTCTGTTTTCTCTATGTTCACCTGAATTCCCTCCTATCTTCTCTGGATGTTTCTTCTACCAACTTGTTGCTTTTCACTTGCATATCTTCCAGTTTGTGGGAAATCAGACATATATCATCGGCGAAGTCCAGATCTTCCAAGTTTTTTGTGTGGGTCCATTTTATGCCTGTTTCCTCATTGCCCGCTGTGTTTCTGTCGCATTATCCAATCTACTGCAATCAGGAAAATCATTGGCGACTTCTGCCATAGTCAACACGAAATGTGAAGTCAATAATTTGCCGCTCACGCATATAATAATTGAGAACTAATTAATGGTCTACACTTCTCTGCTTTTACGTCAACTTCCCTTCAGATCTTGGTAACGTCTACTGAACTCTAATCAGAATTATTAGATGATGATGATGAAAAAAAGAAGCTGGAAGTTCTCAAAAAAGCATTTCTGTTACCAAAAAGTTATTCTCCTTCAACTATGCTGACATATTTCTTAGTCTTCACAGAACAGTGTTTTCAGGTTAAGCAGAGCTAAAAAAGATACATCTGAATTTTGACGAAATTATCAATCGAAAATGAAATTCGACAGATAGAGTAGAGTAGAATTGAAAGTTAAAGTTCGTTGACCTGAAGGTTGCATATTCCGTGCCTCCCAACACTCCAGCCAACAACTGCTACCAACCCTCCATCATCTAACCGAGATTGTGATCACTTTTAACACATCCTTAACTAGACATGATCTACCTGCTCCAATTGTGAAAAAACAGTTTGATTTTTCCCTTCTTCTTTTCTTTTTTCTTTTATCTAGCCTGTCAACGAATTCAAAATTCAACGAGACAATGGTAAGTTTTATTACCACAATACGGATTATATTTTTCTCATTTTAATCATTTCTAGTGTCAGTAAAATTAGTACAATAAAAAGTAAAGCAGATCAACGATGGACGCCAAATCGAGAGAAACGGTGTCATTTGGGGGGGGGGGGAGATGCGGTGGAGCTTCTTCTGTAGCCTTTGATAACTGAAAACAAAAACAAACAAATAAACAACAAATATAAATAGGTAAATAATTAAAACGAGGGTAAAATGTTTTTTGATGCAAAAAAGAAAAGCCTACTGTAATTTACTAGAAAATAAAAAAGGGCCTCACAACAGTTAGGACAGTGAAGTACAAAACAGCAGAAACTAGAAACCCGAGAATTATTTTATTTTCAAGTATTGGTTTTGTAGGGATTTTGTTTGATTGCATGGAGGATTTCATCATGAGCTGACATCAGTTAGAGAACCACTGGAAAACCTGGGAGTACTGGACAGCTGTTTTGTCCTGTGTCGTGAATTGGCAGAAGTTAGAATTCATGGACCATTGGATCGGGTCCCAGTGACTCAATGGTCTACGAGCTCGCCTTGTAACCAGAAGGTCCTGGGTTCGAATCCCGGTGGGTGCGTACTGATGAGTCCCAAACTAGGACGAAACAGTTGTCCAGTACACCCAGGTTTTCCAGTGGTTCTCTAACTGATGTCAGCTCATGATGAAATCCTCAATGCAATTATTTTATTCCCGAAAAACATTTTAATTATGCACTCCATCTTACTGATGTAAGCCTCTCTCATTAAACTTGAAATATACAATCTAGATATGATAGAGAAGATTTGTAGCTTAGGTGGATGACTTTGATGTGGTTGTGTTCTCTGAGCTGGATAGTTAATTTGCGGGATGCGCTTGTCTAATGTTTGTATGGGATTTGTTGATACACATCCTCGTCTTTGAGTAGTTCTTCAGCTTTCTTGGTGTATTCTTCTCAGTCCATGACTACTGTTGTTCTTCCTTTGTCGGCTGGTAGAATGACGATGTCCTTCCTATTTTTCAGCTTTTTGAGGGCCTTTAGTTCTTGAGAGTTGAGTTGTGTGTGTTGTTTTTCTGTTTGACCATTGGTACAATTGTTTGGCGTATCTCTTGCTGTGTTTCCTCCTTTAAGTTTGATGATTTGAGTAATGATTCAAGGGCAGCGAAGAAATCAGTTTTCGAGGCATCTCCGGTGTTGTAGTTTAATCCTTTTTGTAGTAGTTGTTGTTCCATTTTTGATAGGTTGACTACGCAATCTATAGGTGTATTGTCTGGTTGTTGTTTTCTAATCCTGGCTAGCTTGGTTTTGAGGACTCTTCGTCTTTGGTCTCTGTGTTTTCTACTTGACAATGTAATTGCGGTGATCAGCATTGACAGATGTTCCTGGTTGAGGTTTTTTTCTTTTTGGACATATACCCCCAAGCCAAGTTATCAAACCAAAAGCCCCCAAGGAAAGCACAAAGAAAATCGCCTTACCATATATAAGGGATATCTCAGAAATCACTACAAGACTCTTCAAACCTATAGAAATCGACATCGCACACAAACCAACAAAATCACTTCCCTTGGCTGGCTCTATGTCAACCAAAAGACTGAATAACGAAAGAAGATAAAACCAACATCATCTACAAAATAAACTGTGACAACTGCGAAAATCACTACATTGGCCAAAGTGGACGTCCCCTTCGTCTTCATATCCATGAACATAAGCTAGCTGTCAAAAGACATGATATCCACTCCCTCATATCACTACATACAGACAACCATGGACATCAATTCGACTGGGACAACCAGCATTCAACTATTAGATAGAGGAGACACCACGAATGCTAGAGAATGTTTAGAAGCCTGCCTGGTATTACAGTGAATCGTCAATCAATAGACACATCGAAATAGACAAAATTTACCAATCGATAAGAAGGAAATCTCACACACAAAAGGTCGAAGTTCAAATGAAGGAAACAATCAGTTCCAATACAAGTAGCCTAGAGGGTGTGAAAACACACAAAAACAACCAATCACGTCCAAGCTCACCACGAGAGATGATTTATAAACTCGTGGAGAAATCTAAAATCTCACTTCAAATTGAAGTATGCGCTGAAGATGTCGCCTAGCAGGGCGATGAAAGCTTCGCAAATAGACCATCCAGCTCAGAGAGCACAACCACATCAAAATATACAATCTTTCAAAGTACTTTTAAAGTCTCAAAACATCAAATTGTATAATGACGACAACAACGTCAATAAAACGAAAAAAGATAACTTTAGACAGAAGAATTTTCTGGATTCAGTCATTTTCCATACGAGAGAGCTGTCTACTAGCCAAATTGGTAGACAGTTATTTACGTCAATATTTACGTTCTCAAGATTTGTCGTGAGAAAATATGAACAAAGACTGATTCAAAACCGACCACAGCAGACTTTGCGTAGGCGGATACAGTTAACATATAGATGATGTGACATTCAAGAAACAGTCACAAGAGATGAAAGATTAACTTTAAGTGAGGAACAACCAATCAGAAGACTGTTTATTTACTCCCGACCGATAGCTGCTACCTTGACGTGGTGGTCGGGCTTGAACACCGCAATGACCCAACAAGCTATACTGGCTAGAACTTATGTTCCTGCAGGTCCTACCATGCCAGAAAGGTTGTTTGGATAGCAGTTAGACTAAAAGCAGTTACCCAATCCAATCCTATGATTTCAAATAAATCACAAAATATCATGCCGGATCGGTCGGGGCCCGGATTAACAACGACCGCGCTTTCTGCTGCCGTGTCACAGGGCAAAAGTGATAAATACGCTACTGAGACACACCAAATAAAAAAGAACAAACAAAAACAGGCCGGGTGTGACCGGCCTCAAGCAGTTGTCCCCTGGGCTCTGCGGTCACGCAACCAACTTCCACGGTGTGGGCAGCCGGGAAGTAACAATCGCCCTCACAATCCGAAGTGCACGCGAAACCCCTCTAATCCTCGCTCATCTTTGTCTTCATCTTCATCTCTATTATCTTGCCTTCCTTCTACTAATGCAACTCCTCTACTTGTTGGCTCTTCACTTCCCCTTCACTCTGTGTGCACTGATAACGATGGAAGCCAAAAAGCCACCACTGATGGTCTCCTAAAGCCACGCCACCAATTTTATATAGGAGCATTTAATGTTAGGACACTTTGCCAAATAGGACAACAAGCATCACTAGCCAAGACTCTGGCATCCCGAGCCATTGATGTATGTTGTGTTTCAGAAACACGCATACAAGACCCAAGTGTGGTTATTCACCTAACCCCACCTGGCCAACAGGATGAATCTGCGAAATTCACCTTGAGGGTGTCAGGAGATGCGACGGCTAGCTCACGAGGATTAGCTGGTGTTGGGATAGCTTTAAGTACTAGAGCAGAAAAGACATTACTTGACTGGATCCCGGTAGATAGCCGAATGTGTGCTGTCCGCCTGAACGGATCAGTGAAAAGGAGAAAGGACTGCACTACTCGCCGATGCCTTTTCGTAATCTCCGCCTACGCCCCCACTGACTGCAGTTCGGATGAAACGAAGGATGAGTTCTACCAAAAGCTGTCCAGTTTGCTGCGAAAGGCTAGACGCTCAGATATAGTCGTTTTAGCTGGTGACTTTAATGCTCAAGTGGGGAAATTGTGTCAATCTGAGAAGAATGTTGGTGGCACATACGGAATTCCGTGCCAGCGAACCGACAACGGTGACCGTCTCCTACAGTTCTGTTCAGATAATCATTTGTATCTTGTAAGCACTAACTTCAAACACAAGGAGAGACACTGTTTGACCTGGCGACCACCATCATCAAATCAACGCTGGACACAAATAGACCACATAGCAATAAGCTATCGTTGGCGTGGGTCGGTAGGGGATTGTCGCTCCTTCTGGAACACGTGTGTAGATACCGATCACGCACTGGTCCGCGCTCGTGTGTGCTTACGACTGAACGGACGTAGGAAACAGCTGGCGGTAAACCCACCACGTCCCCAGCTCGACCAGGGAACTAAGTCCCTATTTGAGGAAGAACTAGCTAAACACATATCTGAGTTTGACAGCTGCGCTCACCCTGAAGAAGCCTGGAAGAATATTCAGTCAGCCATAGATACAGCTGTAAAAGCTGTGAATAAGGTAAATCCAAAGGTGAGTAAAAACCATTGGATTTCGACTGCCTCATCCGAACTGATAGATGCCAGAAGACTTATTCCGGCGAGCTCCGAATTCAATGAGGAGCGAAAGCTGCACAAGAGGAAACTTACGAAAAGTCTCCGCAAGGACCGTGAACAGTGGTGGTTGACAAAGGCGAAAGAGATGGAAAAAGCATCGGCGATAGGCAACACCAGACAACTATTCAGGCTTATCAGGGAAACAGGTGGTAAAAAACAAATGATAAGCGAAACAATCTCCGAGAAAAATGGCACCATAATTAGCTCCCAGGATAGACGTCTGGAGCGCTGGAAAGAACACTATGAGGAGCAGTTTAATTGGCCCACAGCCACACTTAACCTACCGGACATCCAGCACCTCCCTGAATGGGAGATAGACACAGGTCCTCCGTCCTTAACCGAGGTCACTAAAGCTGTCACCAATCTGAAGCTAGGCAAAGCAGCGGGACCTGATTTATTGACTCCAGAGGTATTTAAGTACGGAGGCGACAGTTTACTGTCTGCGTTAACGGGGGTTCTAGGCAGCGTCTGGGAATCAGAGGAAGTCCCATCGGGTTGGTGTAAGTCACTGATCATCCCGATATACAAGAAGGGGGACAAGTCGTCTTGTGATAATCACAGAGGGATTAGCTTGACTAATATAGTATCTAAAATCCTAGGCTCAATAATACTGCGTAGATTAAGTGGTGCTCGGGAGACACAAACACGAGAAAACCAGGCAGGTTTTAGGCCAGGTAGAGGGTGTATTGATCACATCTTCACCCTTCGACAGATTCTAGAACATAGGCATTCCTACCGGCGTCCGACAATCATTATATTTCTTGACCTAAAGGCGGCATTCGATTCCGTCGACCGGGAGGTTCTCTGGCGATGCTTGGCTGTAAAGGGAATGCCAAGAAAATACATTGCACTGATTAAGGCACTCTACTCGTACTCATGCAGCCAGGTGAGGGCTTATGGCGAGTTGTCATCTGGAGTGGTGACGACTAGTGGCGTCCGTCAAGGATGCCCATTATCCCCATTCCTATTCAATTTCATCATAGATGTACTAATGGACTTAACCCTAACTCACTTCAGCGACTCAGGGACTGACTTGCTACCAGGGAAGAATCTCGTTGACTTAGAATACGCGGACGATATAGTCCTTCTAGGCGAGGACTCTGACAAAATGCAGAGTCTACTGAACACCCTGAGCAACAACCTCCGCATGTTTGGCATGCGATTCGCCCCTATAAAATGTAAGATGATGCTGCAGGATTGGACTTCATCGACCCCTAGACTAGAAATAGGAAGTGAAGTGGTAGAACACGTTGACCGCTTCACTTACTTGGGAAGTACCATCAGCCCCAACGGGTTGATCTCCGACGAAATCTCAGCACGAATACAGAGGGCTAGTTTCGCCGTCTCTGGCGTAGACGCGATATCCGACTATCGACCAAAGGGCGTGTGTACTGCTCAACAGTCCGCTCCGTCCTCCTTTATGGCTGTGAGACCTGGCCATTGAGAGCAGAAGACATGAAAAGATTAGCTGTCTTCGATCATAGGTGTCTGCGTTCTATCTCCCGCGTGAAGTGGTATAAAAGAGTGCGCAATATTGAGGTTAGGCGTCGAGTGCTAGGTAAGGCGGGGAAATCAATCGACGAGACTGTGAAATTACTTCGACTGAGATGGTTAGGACATGTGCTACGTATGCCTAGTCATCGCCTTCCTCGACGGGCAATGTTAGCTGATATAGGGTCAGGCTGGAAAAGAGCTAGCGGCGGTCAAACCAAAACATGGCACCAATCAATGAAATCCACAACAGTTAATCTAAGCCACGTAGGAAGATGTAGACGTCCTGGTTGGGGCCCTCGGGATGGTAAAAACCAATGGTTGGAAACAATTGGCGACATGGCTCAAAATCGTTCTCAGTGGCGCAGATGCATCCACTCCTTGTGACTTATCATTTCCAGTTAAACTGTTTTGTTCTCCGTTATTGCTATTCCTTTGTCTCACACCTCTGTTTACTGTCTATATTTTGCATTTCTTCTACTTCCTTCTCTTGCTTTGCGTGCTACATGGATTGTGGCGACTTGAACTGCCGCACATATGTACAAAGTTCTATGTCGAAAACAGACAGACAGACAGTTTATTTACTTAACTAATCTATAATAATGTGCATGAAAATATATAAATATGCTTTGATTTTCTTAATAAACGATCTGTTGCCTGGTCCTTGTCTTCTGTTGTTACAGTAGTATTAAAGAAGTATTCTCTTAAAACGACAACACTACAACTATTAATTGATACTGAGAAAGAAAAGAAACAAGTGTCCAGAGTTTAGCGAAAACCGACAAACTGGTCGAAGAAGCAGCAAAGACAGGACTACAGGTGAACATAGACAAGACGGAGGTTATGAAAATAAACAACCAACAACAACAACAGCAACATCCAGTGCCAATCACCATCAACTGGAGGGATTTGAAAGAGGTTACTTCATTCACTTATCAACGGAGCATTGTCTCAACTACAGGAGGAACAGACGAGGATGTCAAATCGAAAATCAGGAAGGCGAGAAACACATTCATCAACCTGAAACCAATCTGGAAATCTTCGTCACTCAGCTTGCATCAACAACAAAATTCGGATTTTCAATACAAACGTCAAGTCAGTCAGTTCTTCTATACGGATCAGAAACTTGGCAGCAGGTCACAAAGAATATTTCCAACAGCCTGTTGCAGACCTTTATCAACAACTGTCTTCGCTGGCTCTATACTGAAGATCAGATGGCCGGAAAGAATCACCAACAAGAAACTATGGGAAGAAACAAAACGAGAACCAATCGCTCAACAAATATGCAGGAGAAAGTGGAGATGGATTGGACACTCGCTGAGGAGGCCGCTGAGTGACATCACACGTCAGGCCAGTGCTCGAGTGGAACCCGAAAGGGAAGCGGCGAGTGGGACGTTCAAGGGTGACATGGAGGAGATCGTGTGAAGAGGAACTGAAACAGTATGGATCAACATGGATGTAAGTGAAAAGTACAGCACAAGACAGAAGCAAGTGGAGGCGTGCAGTTGAAGCCCTATGTTCCACTAGGAACCCAAGGGAGCAATAAATAAATAATAATGATGCTTATCTGAAAGTGGTTTTCACCATGGATTAACATCTCTTGGATAAATTAGTAAGAATGGACGGCCGGTTGTTTTTATTCTAGTTTGCGGAAAGAAATTAAGGTCAAAAGTCAATGATTAACATAGTTTTCTGAGTCATGAGATCAGAGAAATACTACCACCACAGCAGCTATAGAGTAGACGGTGTGTATTCAGCTCAACAAAATGCATATCCTATTTTAACTACAACAGAATTAGTAGAAACTTTTTGCTAAAGCGAAATTCACAAATCATTAAAAAAAGTTCTAACTTTCACCATACAAAATTATTTCAAGGTTAACAAACACTGACGATACGTAGCCGTGTAAGGGCTTATGGGGAATTGTCGTCTGAATTGATAACAACCAGTGGTGTCCGTCAAGGATGTCCACTTTCCCCATTTCTGTTTAACTTCATCATAGATATGCTAATGGAAGTATCCTTAACTGAACTTAACGACTTAGGAATCGACATGTTACCAGGGAATAGTCTTATAGACTTAGAATATGCAGATGACATAGTCCTGTTAGGGGAGGATGCTGACAAAATGCAGAGTCTTCTGAACACCCTGAGCAGCAATCTTCGTATGTTTGGCATGCGATTCGCCCCTGTAAAATGTAAGATGCTGCTATAGGAATGACTGGACTACCTCAACTCCTAGCCTAGTGATAGGGAGTGAAGTGATAGAACACGTTGACCACTTCACCTATTTAGGAAGTTGTATCAGCACCAACAGACTGATTGATTGGTGACGAAATCTCAGCACGGACCCAAAAATCTCGAGCTGCTTTCGCTAACTTACACCATCTCTGGCGTAGGCGTGACATCCGACTATCAACCAAGGGACGTGTGCACTGCTCAGCAGTTCGCTCCGTCCTTCTCTATGGCGGTGAGACGTGGCCATTGAGAGCGGAAGACATGAAAAGGTTGACTGTTTTTGATCATAGATGTCTAGGATCTTTTTCTCACGTTAGGTGGTATAATAAGATAAGTAATGTTGACGTTAGGCGTAGAGTGTTGGGCAAAGAGGGAAAATCAATCGAAGAGGCTATAAAGTTACATAGATTGAGATGGCTAGGTCACGTGCTGCGCATGCCTAACCATCGCCTCCCCCGACGGACGGGCATTACTAGCTGATATAGGTGCAGGTTGGTTGGAAAAGAGTAAGTGGTGGCCAAACAAAAACATGGCATCAATCCATGAAATCCCTGACAGTTAAACTGAGTCAGGTAGGGAGATGCAGACTTCCGGGTTGGGGCCCGCCCTCGGGACTCTAAGAATCAATGGCTGGAGACACTAGGTGACATGGCTCAAAATTGTTGTCAATGGCGCAGATGTATTCAGACTCTGTAATATTTCATATTCCTTTCTACTATTACTGATTCTGTTTCACTCTTATACTTGTCAAAACTCTATTGATTCTCTTCACTCATCTTCTTGTCTACCTTTGTGTGCTCTTTGGAACGTGGCAACTCGATCTGCTGCACTTTGGTGCCAAGTTCTATGTTGAATCTAGACAGACAGACCAGTTTAATGCCCTACTCACCAACATAAGTATGCTGCTGCTGCTGGATTCAACATAGGACTTGGCACTGAAGTGCAGCAGTTCGAGTTGCCACGTTCCAAATAGCACACAAAGGTAGACTCCCGACCGAAAGCTGCTACCTTGACGTGGTGGTCGGGCTTGAACACCGCAATGACCCAACAAGCTATACTGGCTGGAACTTATGTTCCTGCAGGTCCTACCATGCCAGAAAGGTTGTTTGGATAGCGGTTAGACTAAAAGCAATTATCCAATCCAATCCTATGACTTCAAATAAATCACATAAGTATGCAGAATACACGGAAATCTGAACTGTAATCCATTAAATTCCAGTAAGATATTTTGAGAATAGATAATTCCGTAATAAATAAACCATCATTCGTAACTCGGTGAGTAAATGATATATATATATATATATATATATGTATAGTACACCTGTTTTGGTTTTCACATTTAACTGTTTACAGTAATAAAAATATCTCCAGAAATCGACCAACCTACATTTTGTAATTTTTCTGCCATCGATTGAAATTCAGTTATTTCATCATGCAGGGTACGACGCAGCTTTTTCAAGTTGGCGAAACATCTACTCGTTTTTTTCTCTAACTTCTGGGAAAGAGAAGTCAGATTTACCAGAAAAGATTTGTTGAGAGGGAGAAGATGAGCTCGAATATCTTTTTCCGGATCTCCAAAAGGTCGCCTGTAACACTTTAAGTGTAAAGTGAGAAGTAGTTTACCAGGATTTAAGGCGTTTTAATGTTGTATTAGCTTCGGCCAATAAAAGAGCTTTGCTATTTACGTTATACTGAGAAAGAATCTCTGCAGATCTATCAGATGTACGCTTTTCAAAATTAGATATGACTTTCTTGATAGTATCTTCAAACCAAACTGCATCCCTCGTTCTTAAACAGCCGCATGTATCCTCAACAAGTTCTCTAAAAAAATCATAAAAAGATTTACAACTACTTACGTGAAGTATTTTTCCACCTTCCCAGTCACTTTTTGTAAAGCATGAGTAATTTTTTGTTCAGGTGTTTTAGATGTCATCAGGATGTCCACCTAAAAAATTATGTCAGGAAGTTGCCGAGATTAACTGTCTGTCTGTCTGGATTCAGCGTAGAACTTGGCACCAAAGTGCAGCAGTTCGAGTTGCCACGTTCCAAATAGCACACAAAGGTAGACAAGAAAATGAGTGAAGAGAATCAATAGAGTTTTGACAGGTATAAGAGTGAAACAGAATGGGTAATAGTAGAAAGGAATATGAAAGATTACAGAGTCTGAATACATCTGCGCCATTGACAACGATTTTGAGCCATAGTAATATATGTGTAAAACTTGGGCACTGTGGTAGTAAGTAATTCCATATTAGTTTGTTTATTTGGTATATCACACAGTGAAACAGTATTATTTACTGGATGACGTTTCGAACAAAATTTATTGTTCATAATCATATCAATTGTGATCACACACTTTAATGAGTTTATAGTTTTCTTTGTTTTCTCTTATTTGTCGTATGGTAGTAGAATTTTCCAAATATCGGGGACAGGTGATGGATCATTCCTATTACATGTATTTGTAGTTGATTCGATAAACAAAGCTTCTCCATATTAGTTTGTTTATTAGGTATATCACACAGTGAAACAGTATTATTTACTGGATGACGTTTCGAACAAAATTTATTGTTCATAATCATATTAATTGTGATCACAATTTTGTTCGAAACGTCATCCAGTAAATAATACTGTTTCACTGTGTGATATACCAAATAAACAAACTAATATGGAATTACTTACTACCACAGTGCCCAAGTTTTACACATATATTACTATGGCTCAAAATCGTTGTCAATGGCGCAGATGTATTCAGACTCTGTAATCTTTCATATTCCTTTCTACTATTACCCATTCTGTTTCACTCTTATACCTGTCAAAACTCTATTGATTCTCTTCACTCATTTTCTTGTCTACCTTTGTGTGCTATTTGGAACGTGGCAACTCGATCTGCTGCACTTTGGTGCCAAGTTCTACGCTGAATCCAGACAGACAGACAGTTAATCTCGGCAACTTCCTGACATAATTTTTTAGGTGGACATCCTGATGACATCTAAAACACCTGAACAAAAAATTACTCATGCTTTACAAAAAGTGACTGGGAAGGTGGAAAAATACTTCACGTAAGTAGTTGTAAATCTTTTTATGATTTTTTTAGAGAACTTGTTGAGGATACATGCGGCTGTTTAAGAACGAGGGATGCAGTTTGGTTTGAAGATACTATCAAGAAAGTCATATCTAATTTTGAAAAGCGTACATCTGATAGATCTGCAGAGATTCTTTCTCAGTATAACGTAAATAGCAAAGCTCTTTTATTGGCCGAAGCTAATACAACATTAAAACGCCTTAAATCCTGGTAAACTACTTCTCACTTTACACTTAAAGTGTTACAGGCGACCTTCTGGAGATCCGGAAAAAGATATTCGAGCTCATCTTCTCCCTCTCAACAAATCTTTTCTGGTAAATCTGACTTCTCTTTCCCAGAAGTTAGAGAAAAAAACGAGTAGATGTTTCGCCAACTTGAAAAAGCTGCGTCGTACCCTGCATGATGAAATAACTGAATTTCAATCGATGGCAGAAAAATTACAAAATGTAGGTTGGTCGATTTCTGGAGATATTTTTATTACTGTAAACAGTTAAATGTGAAAACCAAAACAGGTGTACTATACATATATATATATATATATATATATATATCATTTACTCACCGAGTTACGAATGATGGTTTATTTATTACGGAATTATCTATTCTCAAAATATCTTACTGGAATTTAATGGATTACAGTTCAGATTTCCGTGTATTCTGCATACTTATGTGATTTATTTGAAGTCATAGGATTGGATTGGATAATTGCTTTTAGTCTAACCGCTATCCAAACAACCTTTCTGGCATGGTAGGACCTGCAGAAACATAAGTTCCAGCCAGTATAGCTTGTTGGGTCATTGCGGTGTTCAAGCCCGACCACCACGTCAAGGTAGCAGCTTTCGGTCGGGAGTCTACCTTTGTGTGCTATTTGGAACGTGGCAACTCGAACTGCTGCACTTCAGTGCCAAGTCCTATGTTGAATCCAGCAGCAGCATACTTATGTTGGTGAGTAGGGCATTAAACTGGTCTGTCTGTCTAGATTCAACATAGAACTTGGCACCAAAGTGCAGCAGATCGAGTTGCCACGTTCCAAAGAGCACACAAAGGTAGACAAGAAGATGAGTGAAGAGAATCAATAGAGTTTTGACAAGTATAAGAGTGAAACAGAATCAGTAATAGTAGAAAGGAATATGAAATATTACAGAGTCTGAATACATCTGCGCCATTGACAACAATTTTGAGCCATGTCACCTAGTGTCTCCAGCCATTGATTCTTAGAGTCCCGAGGGTGGGCCCCAACCCGGAAGTCTGCATCTCCCTACCTGACTCAGTTCAACTGTCAGGGATTTCATGGATTGATGCCATGTTTTTGTTTGGCCACCACTTACTCTTTTCCAACCAACCTGCACCTATATCAGCTAGTAATGCCCGTCCGTCGGGGGAGGCGATGGTTAGGCATGCGCAGCACGTGGCCTAGCCATCTCAATCTATGTAACTTTATAGCCTCTTCGATTGATTTTCCCTCTTTGCCCAACACTCTACGCCTAACGTCAACATTACTTACCTTATTATACCACCTAACGTGAGAAAAAGATCCTAGACATCTATGATCAAAAACAGTCAACCTTTTCATGTCTTCCGCTCTCAATGGCCACGTCTCACCGCCATAGAGAAGGACGGAGCGAACTGCTGAGCAGTGCACACGTCCCTTGGTTGATAGTCGGATGTCACGCCTGCGCCAGAGATGGTGTAAGTTAGCGAAAGCAGCTCGAGATTTTTGGGTCCGTGCTGAGATTTCGTCACCAATCAATCCGTTGGTGCTGATACAACTTCCCAAATAGGTGAAGTAGTCAACATGTTCTATCACTTCACTTCACTTCCTATCACTAAGCTAGGAGTTGACGTAGTCCAGTCCTGTAGCAGCATCTCACACTTTACAGGGGTGAAGACTTCTTTGGTTATCTTTATCACCTCCGTCTTCTCTATGTTCACCTGGAGCCCTGTCTTCGTTGCTTCTTCAGTCAGTTGGTTGCTGATACATTATTATTATTGCACATTAATCATTATTATTTAAAACAATTAGTTCTTTTTATGAATTTGTACAAAGCAATAATAAGACGTAAGTTGTCTGAATTGTGTCATCTATTTGCACGCACAACACATTTCAAACAATCTGATCACACACGGACTTGTCATATATATATTAGACGATTCAGATAAGTTGCATCTTATTATTATTATTATTATCAAAATAGGCAACATACGTTATGTTTCGAATCTTTAGCATCCACAGTATTTTTGTTACCGAACATGTTGTCATGTAAAGGTAACGGTGAAATCGACGCTGGTGCTGATGACGACGTAGATGATGGATTCACCCGCATGGATAGATGAGAATTTGTGCATTTTATATATTCATGACTTTTTGATTGAGAAATAGACTGTACATCACCTGGAGTGAGGGGAAAAAAGAGAAGGAAAACAAAATGAATAAAGCAAAATGGCTTGTTTCTTTTTTTCAGAAGTCTGGAAGGTTGATTTTCAATAGGAATAACTCAAAAACAATCAGAACTAATGCTGAAACAAATACAGAGAAGGAAATTCTCCCTTTTCGATGATTCATTTTTACATAAGCTGTACAACTGTATTTATACTTAACAAAGAATTCATAAGATGACCAATAAGATACTGGTAAAATTTGTCCTCGAGAACGTAAGGTGTAGTCTAAATGGGGCGACTTATTGGAAATTAGAGAAAGGGGACGCAAGTTGGCATGACGCAATAAGCACAGGAAAAATGACTAATCAATATAATTGTTTAGAGTGGACAGGAACCAGTGGAAAGACGATATAGTGTTCTTATATAAAATCTGTATGAGAAAGCAATATTATTAATAAACAGTAATGGAGTGGTAATAAAATTTGGATAATGCGAATGATAATAAGTAGTGAGAACGTTACTCTGGCCATGGTAGCGTGAGTGAATGTATGTGGTGCTTTTGAATACAGACGTCCGGTTGCTGATCACGAATAGACAGTTATTCAACTATGTCCAGATGGCGTACTCAATGTCTTTTTGTACGATATTCGGGGACTCCGTGCAGTACTGCGAAAGGCGTCGGATATCAACGTCTACGCCAGGTACGGCGTTAACTGGCACATAAGAAACAAGCCTTGTGTATCCGTGCTGAGATTTCGTCAGCAATCAACCCGTTGGGTCTGATGCAACTTCACCTGAGCCTATCGATTCTCTAAAGTTCATCTGTTCTTTTTTGCCTTTATTTTTCAGATAAATTGACTTGACAAGTAAATGTGTGAGGTATCAGACTGGTTGAAATTGTAGTGCCCAACAAATACATCTCACACATTCTTCAGATAATCTCAATGGACGCAGTTTTCAAAAGAAACTGTAGTAAAATTCCACCTATTCAAATTGTGAATTTGACACTTAACTTTGAGTTGAATTTTATCGAAGGCTCCTAGTGGGGAATTCAGATTGGAAAATCTCAAGACAGCTGAGATACCCCTGTAACAACAGAACGTTGATTACGGAAA